TAAATGTAGAGAAAATGTAAAGCTGGGTATGTAAAACTGTAACTGTCAAACTGTAAACATAATAAGTATAGGTAAAATGTAATGAAACTCTGTATTGTGAGTGTTTTCAGCATTTAAGTCTATAATATAAACATCAAAACCAATCTGCAAGGGTATACAAACTTCGGCGTGCCGAAGTTAGCTTCCTTTCTTGTTTTTGATTCAATTTTATTGATCACGTTAGCAGTGGAGCCCGCTTCTTTTACATCTACTAGACCCATTTTGGGTGTTTTTTTTAGAACTGTGTATATAAGGTCTTACGTTTAGTGTGTAGGTAATTTGCTTGTTAATTTGCCATTTATATTGGCTCATTAAGTAAAGGATGGATGAGATGCAGGTCGTATCCCTCTGTAGACAGTAAAGTCAATGGCTGTTGGAGTTCTTTGGCTATGAGGATAGTGCGTAGGCCCCCCAGTTGCAAGGACCTGGACATTAGACCTTTGAACTATGTCGGCGAGTGCTCTTCCGCGGGTGGTTGAGTTTCTAAACCCCCAAAGGCGATGAGCATTCCAGTCACCTGCGACGATGAAGTTTCTTTCAAGATCGTCAAAATGTTTTTTAAAGTCGATAGCAGAACATTGGAAGTTTGGTGGACAATAGATGGACGCAATAGCTGTTTCGCCATGATCAGTTTTGACTTTAACTGCTACTCATTGTACATTTGGACTTTGCATACTATAGAACTGGTAATATTGAAGACAGGATTTTATAATAATTGCTAAGCCACCGCGTTTTCGATCGGCAGGATGAGTAGCTTGATGGATATCGTACCTGTTCAATTTGTAGAACGACCTTGAGCAAAAGTGTGTTTCACTGACCAGCATAATATGAATATTATGACTTTGCACAAAGAGCTCCAGCTCAAGGGCTTTGTTGGCAAGTCCGTCGGCGTTCCACACACCAATGTTAAGCCCAATTTGACTCATTGTTGGACTATATTAGCTGGGAAAAATCCAGCAACTGCTTGTGCAGTTCCTGGAGAAGTTTGTGGTAGGAGTCTAGAGACAAGACCCATCATCGACACCATCATTTGGAATAACTTGTCAAACTGGGCAACAAGGACCGAAATTCTTTCGTCCGATTGCAAGAACATTTGCTCTTGGCGCTGCCACTGGTGGTCGTTCAACGTTGCTGTTGTTGAGGGAAAGACCGCTGCTGTAGTTGTTGAGGCTTTTGTTGTTGTTGTGAATGCTGCTGCTGCTGTCGGTTCTGCTGCTGCTGTTGTTGCTGCTGCTGTTGTTGCTGCTGCTGTTGCTGCTGCTTTTGCTGCTGCTTTTGCTGCTGCTTTTGCTGCTGCTGCTGCTGCTGTCGAGGCGGTACCTTTTAGTGGAGTAGCTGACTTTTCTTACTTTGTTGCTGGCCAATGGGGGAAACTGTTGACTCTGCAGGACATTTATAGGAGCATGGTGCTGGGAGCAACTAACTTGCCGGCGAACAGCGTTAGCGTAGGAGCTTGGAGTCACTTAGTTAGACCAAACTATTGGATGAGCTGGCTGTTGGGGAACGGTGCTGCGATGGGTTGTGACACTTTTCCGTCGATTAGCAACCTGCTGATAAACGACGCAGCCTTAGCTGTATGGTCTCCGCCACAGTTTACACACTTCAATAGGTGAAGATCCCTTAAGGGGGGACATCTGAGTAACTGGCAAAAAAAAAAGCCCATTTTCTAGAATTTTTTCTGGCCAAATGAAAAAGCCAATCGAAAAATTTTAAAGTAGGTTTGATAATGTTAGATGTGAACTACAAAATAAATTTTTTTTTTATAAATCGAAAACAAAATGGCGGCTGTGCAGCATGCCTTCGTAGACCCTATTTTTTTGAAAGGGGTCCATGGCCGAAAACCTAACGTCCTTAATTTTTGATCTAGAACAAAAAATCAAATTTTGTTAGTTTTTGTATCTCAACCGCTATCGACACACGTAGGATTTTTTCGATATTTTGATTTTTAGCAAAATGGTGAGTGATTAAAAAAATGTTCAATTTTCATGCGAAAAAAACGTCAAAAAATTGTTGATAAAAAAAAGTAAGCAAAAATAAAAAAAAAATCCTACGTGTGTCGATAGCCATAAGTATTTTGGATATACTGTCAAAATTTCAGATCGATCGGTTAAGATTTGTTCGAGTTATGTTTTCGGCCAACTCAAAAAAATGGTTTTGAGAAAAACGCGTTTAAAGTTTTAAGATCGTATATATTTACATGAGAGGCATCGCCGCAGAATGGAAAATTTCGATACTTAGAAACTTTTGCCGGACTCTATCTTTTGATATGTTATTTTTAAGACCCTAAAGTATTTTTTAAGCAAAAAAAAAATTTTTCGATTTTGAAAAAAAGTTACTCAGATGTCCCCCCTTAAGCAGGCCTCCACACCGTATTGCAGGCCGCATCTGACGCAGTTGAAAAGCTTTTGGCAATTATTTTTTGTGTGTCCCAAAGATTGACACTAGTGGCATTGAACAACATCATCCTTTTTATACCCTTGCAGGGTATTATAATTTCAGTCAGAAGTTTGCAACGCAGTGAAGGAGACGTTTCCGACCCTATAAAGTTTATATATTCTTGATCAGCATCAACAGCCGAGTCGATCTAGCCATGTCCGTCTGTCCGTCTGTCTGTCTGTTTCTACGCAAACTAGTCCCTCAGTTTTGAAGCTATCTGAATGAAACTTTGCATATAGTCTTCTATATGCTCTCACTGCTATATATGTCGGAACAGGCCGGATCGGACGACTATATCATATAGCTGTCATACAAACGTTCGATATATTTTTCGAAAAAAAATTATAACTTTGCTGTTTTTCAATATTTTTGCACCATTTTTTAGATATGGCCATTCTATATTATTTTTGGTAAAAATTTTATAAAAATCGGACGACTATATGATATAGCTGCCATAGGAACGATCGGGAAATTAATAGGAAAAAAATTATAGCTTCGTTGTTTTTCAACGTATGTTTATCTTCTCTGAGATATAAGCTTTTTTTTATTATTCTAGAATTTTGGTATAAATTTTATAAAAATCGGACAACTATATCATATAGCTGCCATAGAAGCGATCGGTAAATGTATAAAATATGTAAAGCTGGGAATGTAAAACTGTAACTGTCAAACTGTAAACATAAAAAGTATAGGTAAAATGTAATGAAACACTGTTTTGTGAGTCTTTTCAGCATTTAAATCTATAATATAAACATCGAAACCAATCTGCAAGGGTATACAAACTTCGGCGTGCCGAACTTAGCTTCCTTTCTTGTTATAGGTGAGTTTATCTTGAACTCGTTGCCGACAAAGCGTTTTAATATCATGTATATCTTTATTATTTGTTGCTGGTTCCAGTTCAACAATGTATGGCTTTCCTTAATGTTTTCATCCGGGACAGAATGATGGACACCACGGATAACAACTTGATAGAACCTTTCTTCTTTTAACTGCCAAGAGTGGAAAGGCAATTTTTAAAGAGTCAGGGATTTGGTTAAAGCTCTATATGGATCTGAATCAGCACCTAAGATGTTGGAATGACATTTTAGGAAGTATTTGATTTGATAAGTCTGTTCAGATTCTCACAGTGATCATCTACAATCGGGGGTGGTTTGTGGGTGGATATATGCTCCTGACTACCAGGCTGGCTGAGATTGTCGTTGTTGCTTCCGGTATTGTTGATAGAGCTGCTGATAGTCCGGAGACAAGACGGCGTTTGTTGTTTGCCGATCTAGGGGTCCACCAGTCTTCACCGTCACCATTTATGACTGCTAGGTCTGGTTCTACATCAATGTTTGATCTTGTTAAAGAAGGAGGAGGAGGCAAGTCGCCGACTGAATTCGGCTAATGAGCAATAGTGCCTCATTTCGATAGGAGGAGTTAACAAGGAATGCAGTGTCGTCAGAATAGGTGGCAAGAAGTGTGCCCGGTTCATTAGGACATGGTAGGTCTGAAGTGAACACGGTGTTCAGTACTGGACCCAGGACGCTTCCCTGCAGAACGCCAGCACGAACAATATGAATGCTTGATCTTTCCCCTCTTACCTAGACCATAAAACTACGATCGTGAAGGTATGACTTTAATAGAAGGAATTGGGTCGGGAGTAGGGACTTCAACTTATAAAGTTAGGCATCGTGCCACACGCGGTCAAAAGCTTCCTTGACATAATAAAAAAAATAGCAGAGCTGTATTGCTTGTTTTCGGAATCATTTAAAATGTGCTGGACGACTCGATGTGTTTGCTCTGGACTGATGATGCCTAAAACCAAACTGGTGATCGGGAATGGCTACCTGGACGCTTCTTACTCCCATTATTCTACTAAGGAATATTCTCTCGATTATTTTAGAGAAAGTGGGTAGTAAGCTTATCGGTCGGTATGACTCAACAAGGCTCTGTTTTTCCTGGCTTAGGTATCATCATTATCACAGCAGACTTATATTAAGATATGGTGGTATTAAGGTATGATTGATACGAAGCATGAAGTTAAAAGGGAGAACAATGAACAGGATTCCCCTTTTAGGCAAAGCCTTGGCAATTCTGCTGTCAATGACATCGATTCCCGTCGCTTTACTGGGATGTAGCTTTCGGATATGAAGACAAACTTCTTTTGGGCTTACATGTTGGATCGGAACCGCTTCAGGGGAGGGTGCATTTATGAAGACAAGTGTTTCTTCAACATCCTCGGGGTTCGCGAGGACAAAAGTCTGAAAGCGTTTCTCTAGTTCGTCCGCAAAAGCTAGTGAAATCTCTGAATCAGACCTGCACCATGTATCGTCAGATTTCTTAATGGAGATCGTTCGGATGGGCTGTACTTTAATATTCCGATTACACTTCAAGAGGTTAGCCGTTCGATTTGGTGGGGTCAGCGTTGATCTATATATGACTGGTCGGAAACGACCAGATTGATTTTTTATTACGAATTCTTATACTCTATAAAATATATTTAAATTATTATAAATATATAGACATTTTTTTTTTTTTTCCAGAGGTTAAAATGAAAGAATTATCAACATTTCATACCGAACAAAAGGACTCGGAAAATACCACTTGCGAAATGCTTGTTAAAAGCGAAATTTCTTTTGAGCAAGAACAAATAACAGTAACTGCTTACGCAGAATTTCCAAATGAAGATACTAATCAAATTGAAATAGACACGGGCCCTGATGATAATATAAGTATTGAAGACTTATTAAAACTTCCATGTAAAAATCAATTTCCAAAAGAATATAACAATTATCAAAAATGTGACACGACATTTTCTGATGCTCTGAGCGATCATAACTATACTTCACAAAAGTTAATTATGAGTCAACATAACTTAAGAATGGTTCGAGACATACTTAAAGTAATTGTACCTAGTAGCTCCATGAAGAAAAATATTGAAACACATATATGGAACTTTTTTAAAAATACCATACATAACTCAAACTTTTACAAGATAAAGTCAACGGATGATAAAAATACACATTTAAACCAAAGTCAAACATATTCTATCAGTGATAGTTCTCAATCACGCAATACAGAAGGTATTAGGGAAAACTTTTCAGATTCGTTTAATGTAAATGAGAATTATCTTACTAATATGCATAATGACTTTGAAAATCAACATGCTTTAAATCCATTATTAATAAGCACAATACATTTTGCAAAACAATTATACTATGAAAGTATGACTTTTGCGTTAAAAACTGAAGATGAATTAAAAACCTTCATAATAGAAAAATTAAAAAAATTCAAGGAAATAGCTATGGTTGGATGCGCAGCTATAAATGAATCGACAGATATCAATTCAGAACATTCAATGAACAAATATCAAAGCAATTTTGAAGCCAAAATGAATCTTCTTTGGGAAACATCTGAATCTTCGCATACCGATATAGACCTCGAAAGTACCTGCGACGAACTGAAAATAGAGTCACGTAGTGAAAAAAGTATGAGGCTACTCACAGAACCGTATGAATGTACATCTAGTAAAATTCTAAATCTGCAGCATAATTTTTCTGATAATATTGATCTCTCCAACTATATAAAACTAGATATAATTGGTAAGACACTTAGCAACGCACTTGACGAGCACTCTGAAAATAAATATTCTTGTTTGACGGACAACGACACTGATAAAGAAATCGAAAGGTATGTTTCTAAATAAGATTTCAATTAATTTCAGGTATGGGATGAACGTTATATAATAAACTACTAAAAATATCTAATTGTTAACACGTTGCATATATATATATATTTGTAAAATACCAAAATATGTTCTTAGGGGTCTGATGAGTAGCGATCCCAAATCGAAAACTTTCATTGTTCAGTAGGTGGATAGCTTGAGTCTTTCTCTAAAAATCCAGTAAAAAATTAACATATCCCACAAAGAAGAAATGCCAGAAAAATAAAAATATGCGGGCAAAGTCGATGTTGAAAATTGGCTGGAGCGCCCGTATCGATTTATTGACTTCAATTTCGGAACTAATTTAGGTTAGGGTGTGCATGCGGTCGAGAAACACGAGGAGCGAAGAGCGGGCAAAACGTAGGTACACTCAACGGGCAGCGTTTCAGTCCTCCGTCATATGGCCAAAGCGCAAGCAGCCATGACCGCTTAGGGCCTAAGTGAAGTAGAAATCGAAGCCCCCCTGAGGCCTTTGCACCAAACTCGATATGTGTGGGATAAGGGTGTGCATCCAACTAGGGTTGTTGGTTTTTAAAAAAATATCGCATTGAACTCTGTATTTGCTGTTACAAAAATATCACTCGATGATATTTATAAATATCGATCTATCGACTTTTTATATTTTTTAATGTTTATCAAAACTTTGATAACGATTTTCTGTTTCTGAAAATTTGGGTAAATTTTGAGCCTAAAAATCTTTATAATATTTGATTTCATTAACCATTAACAGCAAATTAGAGCTATTTAAGACATAATAGACAGTTTTTAATTTAAAAAGTGAATAGAAATCATCGAACTTAAAAAAACAAATATTATACCTGCTCTCAAGCAACTCTTATTTACGATCCTTGGTATAGAACAATTATAACAACATTATGAGGGATATGGTATAGACTGAGTGGTTTTATTTAATAGAAATCTGTTTTTAATGATTTTAGAAAAACTCATTCGGTTACATGCTGATCTGCCATACGACTACGGGAGTCACAAACAACACACTTTATGGCAGAAGCAAACCGTTTAGATGAAACCGAACTACCAGGCGTGATAAGGCAACTTAATGCCACCTTCGCTAGCATGGGCATAGTTGACATTTATGAGATCCAGAATTCCATAGGGATTCCATAGGGTACCTACTACAAAATGGCACTGAAGGCGACCGATGAGCGGCAACAGGACCGCCGGCCGCCCTCGTGAAGTATAGCTTTGCGGTAGTCCCGCGGGTGCGGACTCTTCGACTCTTTCCACATTTTATTTCCTTTTTAATAAAAAAAAAACACCAGCACAACGACGAGAAATTCACCTCGAAAAGTGGTCATATGACCAAGCGATGCATAAGAGCATACGGTCGTGCTAGGAAACAACCCCCTAAAATTGGCACCGAACCGAGAAAACTTTTGAAGTCAATTTGGATTTTAGTTTCCAAGACGTTGTCGATTGACGCTGAAGGAAATTTTGCGAGTCGGAGAGGGCGTTTCCCTCTCCAAGTGCAGGAGTTAAGTCAAAGGAGCACCGGATTTTTGAAGCTAGCGGCACATCTGAAAAAAAAGTTTCTACTTCAAATTGTGCATATTATAATAGCTACTCGCCAATATTTCAGAAATTTATCTGTTGACAGTCGTTTTTGTGAGTCTATTTCGGTGATTTCCCCAAAATGGAAAAAATTGAATATCGAGCTGTAATTAAATTTTTATTTTTGAAAGGCAATACGCCTTCACAAATCAAAGATGAGTTGGACTCTGTGTATGGTGACTCTGCACCATCGTTTACCACCGTAAAATTTTGGGCAGCTGAATTTAAACGTGGTCGCAGGAGCTTGGAAGATGATGAACGTCCTGGGCGTCCAAAAACTGTAACCACTTACGATAACATCGCTAAAGTTCATAAATTGGTACTAGACGACCGCCGAATTAAAGTTAGGAAAATAGCTGAGATTATGAAGATGTCAAAACAACGTGTTTGTCACATATTAAACCAAGATTTGGGCATGAGAAAGCTGTCCGCGCGTTGGGTGCCGCGTTTGCTTACGCTAGACCACAAATGTGCGCGCGTGAACATTTCCAGCGCTCTGTTGGCTCAGTTTAGAGGCAGTATGACCGAGTTTTGGCGCCGATTGATAACTGTAGACGAAACTTGGATTCATCATTAAACAGTGGATTGAAAAACCTAAAGCTGTGTAATCGGCTGGGAAAGTGATGGCGAGTGTTTTTTGGGACAGCCATGGAATTACTTTTATCGACTATCTTGAAAAAGGGAAAACTATAACAGGAGCATACTACGCATCATTATTGGACAAGCTAAAGGAAGAAATTTCGAAAAATCGGCCACATTTGCAAAAAAAGAAAGTCTTGTTCCACCAAGACAACGCACCATCTCACACCCCAACAGTCGCTATGGCGAACTGAGGTTCGAATTGAGGTTCGAACTGCTTGACCATCCACCTTATTCATCGGATCTAGCACCAAGCAACTTTTCTTTGTTTCCTCAACTTAAAACTGCGCTCGGCGGTCAGAGATTTTCGTCAAATGAGAAGGCAATCTCTTTCGTGAACTCGTATTTTACAGACAAAGACGTTAAGTACTATTTGGAATGAACATCTAGTAAAGAGTAGTTTTCGCGGCCTAAGCGGCCAAAGTATTTTTACATTTGGAAATTTTAAGATCGTCCTTTTCTTCCAAGAAGAGCATTTTTTTTTATGAAGATGACGTAGTTAAGGTAGACAGTGAGTTTTGTGGTGCCTCAAAGCGAGAGTGTCGTGAAATAATAGATAACCAATACTCTGATAGGTTTTCTAAAAGTTATGGTGTGCCAAAATATAAAATGTCCATTTGTCTTACTGATTCTACATAATTTTATTGTACCCCTATAAGGTTGTCATATCGTGAGAGACAAATAGTTTCCGAAACCGTTAATGATCTTTTAACTAATAGAATCATCCGACCTAGTAATTCGCCGTATGCCTCAGCCGTGGTTTTAGTTAAGAAATATGTGACTAGTGCTACAATTATAAGTGAAAACTTGCTGCGCTAGTATAATATAATAAATAAATTAAATTATTATTTTATATATTAAAAGAAGCAACTATAAATAAAAAAAGATGGAAATGTAAGGTGTGTTGATTACCGTGGATTGAATAAGAAGACCGCTAGATATTATTTTCCGCTACCCCTTATTGAACTGTTTAGAATACCTTGGAGGTAAATCCGTGTTCTCCGTTATAGACCTTAAAAGTGGCCCGGACGGGCAGTTTGGATATTTAAGGATGCCTTTTGGGCTTAAAAATGGTCCCGCTGTTTTCCAAAGATTTATTTTCGAAGCCTTGAGAGACTTTGTAAGAAACCGACAGATTGCTGTTTATATAGATGATATTATTTTAGCATCATACTCCGTAGAAGAGCATAAAAAGATATTAGCTAGGCTGTTAGATTGACTCGTTGAATTTAACTTTGAGATAAATTAAAAAAAAAGTAGTTTCCTGCAGAAGCGAAAAGATGATAGTGTTCAAGGAATTCTGTCTAACGATACACACTTAACTGCTATAAAACCATATCCGGAACCAATTAATAACAAGACGTTTCATTCCTGTCTCGGTTTATTTTCTTATTTTAGAAAGTTCGTTCCAAACTTTTCGCGTGTAACAAAGCCTTTGACCGACCTTCTTAAAAAAGGGGGACCGTTTCCCATGTCGGATTCCGAAAAAAGAGCATTCCTTCAGCTAACTACAGCGCTATCGAGTCCTCCCATCCTATCAATCTTTAATCCGCAGTATGAAACCGAATTCCACACTGACGCAAGTTCCCACGGGCTTGGAGCTGTTTTGATGCAGCGACAGCCGGATAATAAACTACACCCTGTTTTCTTCTACTCGAGAAAGGCCACTGCAGCCGAATCTCGCTATCACAGTTTTTAACTTGGCAATCATATTGTTCACGCATGAACACAAATATAGATAAGATGCATCTGTTAAGCATTAAATAAATCTCTGCCGCAGCGCACTGTACTTGTCTATCTTTAAGTAAACCCGCCACTTGGGCCTGTGTAATACAAGCAACCCGAAATATGACCTCCTGTGAGCGGTCTGGGTTTGTTCAAGATATGTGTATGCACCCTTATCTCACTTAAAACATTTCCCACGATCGGGAACTGTCCGATGCGTGGGTCTAGAACTAATATCTAAATGTACATTCTCATGTTAGTTATATAAGCTAGGATTGGAATGAAATAAACCAGTTTCTTACAAAAACTCAACGAATGAAGACTTCTCAATTATTTTGGGGTCTTTCACATATACTCCTTGCACCGTTTCCGAATATACATACTTGGAGCATAAACCCTTTCTGATAGTAACCGACTGCAGTTTTAATTATTCGATAGCCCATAGGCCGGGGTCAAACATGGCCCATGTAGATGCGCTTAGTAGGCAAACAGAGCTGCTGAGAGAAGTGGAAGGAATTTCTGATCCGTGTTCGATTCCGTCAAGCCATGTGAGACTTCTAAACCTTGTAGATCTTCGGATTCTTGTGCACCTAGGAAACATAATGTACCTTGTGGTCCTGAGAAACGTATTAAGTCCGTTAGGTTTGCCCCTGAGGTTGAAGAGATTGTTGGAATTGTAGGTGCATCCCCTTATGATATTGATTTACTTTTGAAGACCGAACAAATAAGAGATCCGGAAATCCGTCGTGTGCAAGAAAATTTGGAGATTGGTGAAATTTAAAAGTTTGTGTTGCTAGATGTGATAGTGTATAGAGCGAAGGATAGTGAGAAACTGTGTATGTATGTGGCGAGTCGAATGCAAAAAGATTTAATTAGAAAATTCCGTGAAAAGTTGGGCCATTTTGCGACAGCTAAGTGTGTAAATAAACTGAAAGAAAAATATTGGTTTCCTGGTATGAAAAGTAAGGTCGATCTATTTATAATAACTTTTAATCGTGCATTCTACATTCAGTTCCGAAAAGTATTCACAATAGAACGCTTCATAGTATACCTAAAGCACCGGTTCTGTTTGATACAATCCATATTGACCACCTAGGTCCCCTTCCGTCTATAAAGTCAAAGAGAAAGTACTTGATGGTTATTATTGATGCGTTCAAAAAGTTTGTTAAATTATATCCTGCCACTAGAATTGACCCTCTTTCTAGTCCCGAGGACGCTTATCATCCCACTTTGGAGCTAACCTTTGAAGGCTCCACTCCATTACTATTGTGTCCGGAAGCTGAGCCTGCAACGTTTCGTTGCTTTCGAAAAGCTAAGTTTACAGAAATGAACCACCACTTATCCTTAACGGATTGGACTTTCTTGAACTCTACAGAGGATACCTCAGACATTGTTAAGCGTTTCTATGAAATAATGTACGTAGTTTTCGAAATGTATGTCCCTTCATTTCCCTCACCAGAAGTTTCTCATAAGCCCCATTCGTTTTCTCGTCGGCTTTCTTATCTAAAAAATCTGAAATCCAGACTGTTTAAAAAGTATAGAAAATCTGGTCTCCAAGTCGACCATTCGAGATATTTAACTGCTCGTACAAATTTCCTAGCACACAATTCTGAATGCTACAGAAACCACTTATATCGGTGCAAAATTGAGTTTCAGGCTAACCCGAAGCAATTTTACGCTTTCGTAATCTCGAAACGGAAATCTCAACAATTTCCATCATGTCTTCATTTCGATAATGCCTCCGCTTCTAATGAGCCTGATATCGCGAACCTGTTCGCAAAATTCTTCCAGACTACATACTCACAAATTAATTTCGATAATAACTCAGAGTATTCTTTTCCACTCCCGCACTCCAATTACATTTTTATGCCTGTAACACAGGTACACAGCCAAAATTTCCACGAACCATTTCAAGTTTTCCATGATATTTGGGTGCTCCTGAGTAAAAGTCCCATACAAAATAATTTTCCATCACCTACAGGTTCCGCGGTATTCCTAAGAATACAAAAAACCGATGTTTGCCGACATTTTGAATTACATGGCCTATATAATTGGACTAATAATAATAAATAATAAATAAGGACATTCAAATTGTTAGAATAAGATATACATGTATTTCAATCTTGTGTAGTTTTAAGACAGATATGAAAATTTAAAATTGACCCGTTGTGACTATCGCACTAATTTATAAGTTTTTAACTTGTAGCGTTAGGAATTTATTTACCAATAAATTAAATTAAGCATATCATTAAAAAACACTCCTTATCCGGTCTGATGTAAGGGTATGGATTTAAAATGACAGATATTTGCTATTCTTAATTAATAAATAAATAAATAAATACAAATCACACCCACAGAAATCATCAACCAAACCAATTGTACCTGTTCACACATGAACACGTATCTACACTTATCTACAAACAAGATGCATATTGATGATGCACTTGTCTATCTTATAAGTACAACCGCCACCAGAGAATGAATATATAAACAAAAAGACACAAAAGAGTCTTGTATGTTTTAAATTGAAGCACCATTTAATCTTGACATAGCTATAGGTTGCTGTAATACCATGGAAGATATGGTAAGGCGTGCTGAAGCCATTAATATCAGTAGAAAATGTGCTTAAAGAAAATGTAAAAAGTGCATTAAATTGAAAAATTATATTGTGGTATTTGAAATTGCCAACATGATCAAAGCAAAAGGAGAAAAAAAATCCCTATTGTTAAAAAAAAAAATTGTGGTCGAGAAATCGGCATAATAAAAATAAATATCGGTAATATTTATTGTGGGCGTTTTTTCGAGGCCCTAAACATTAAAAAGTCGCGGTAGTGACAAATAATAAAAAAAAAAACACAATAAAAAATTTTTTTGTCAAAAAAGGGTCGTTATTGTTTTTAAACAAGAATTTTTTTATCCAACATTGGTTGGTTTTTTTAAGAAAAAATAATAATTTTTTCCAACCCCATTGGTTGGTTTTTTAAGAAAAAGGACAATTAGAGTCCGTATTATTATTGTTTTTTAAAACAAACAAATTTTTTTCCAACTCCATATTTTGGTTTTTTTATAAGTGCAAGAGATGACAACCAGAAAATAAGAAATAAAAAATTTTCTGTAGTCGAGAAATTGACAAAATATTGTGTGGAAGTTACCCAGCTCTTGACGGAGAGAAGGAGAAGAATGGACGACCTTACGGCAGCAACTACAAATAATTCTGCAACAACAACGACAGCCGCAGCGACGATACAGATGCAGGCGGCATCAGGAAAACATCCTACAACCAACAACGGTGGCAGCGACGACAGCAGCAGCAGAAACAACAACATCAACATTAAAGACGACGGCGTCCCAAATCATTTGAAACTTGATAGGTCTTCCTGGGAGCTTAAAAAATTATTCAAACGAAATTTCAATACAATAGGTCCAAAATTGGAGTTTATAGCAAAAAAAAAAAACGGAAAAAAACCATACTGATATGGTACTAGAAAAATTTGATTTTATCGAATACGTGTGGATTCGGACAAAAAGGATTAGTTACTCATTAATCTGCACACTTTGCTTAATAGTTTCCCTTTTATAACTTTTTGCAACGCTTTGCCATGCAAAAGTACTGATCCACGAAACACAACTACACTTTTTAAGATCGTTCTAACAATACACATAAAAAAACACGGTACAATTGGTCAAAAACAAATATTAACGACACAAAAATCGGTAAACTTTAGTTTTATATACCTGGACAATCATTTTCCATATTTTTTAAATTCACTTTTGTGTAAGCTTTTGCCAAAACAAATAATCAAAGTCGCAAAATGTTTGCCCCCAATTTTATACAAAACAGGTGGTACATAATTATCTGACTTTAACAGCGCGAAAGCAGAACAGTATTGCTCCACATGTTAATGTTAAATATTTTTTTTATCTGTCTAGGGTGTTTAAAAATTAAAAATAAAAAAAAATTTAATATTAACAAAACAAATTTGACTTTATGCAAAAAAAAAACGGGAAAAAACCATAGTGTGCTGTCAAACTTAAGAAATAAATCTCTAGCTGCATATCTGAGAAACTTAGACCCTAATTCTTGCAACATGGAATATAACCTGTGGAGAGCAACTAAATATGTAAAGAGACCAGCAAAAAGAAACATAGTCACCCGCAAAAGCAATGGAACTTGGTGTAGATCTGATGATAAACAAGCTGAAGCATTTGCAGAACACTTTTTTTTTCCCCCGTTTCCACCTCCCGCCCAACAGACCGATGGGCGCAGCCGTGTGACGTACGGCACTAATCGCGAACTAAAGAATTAAAGAAGAAAAGGAACGAGGAAACATTAGAAGAGAACAAAAAAAAAAAATATAATATAACATAAACATATAAATAAATAAAAAACCCATGCAAAACTAGGAAAGAACCCAAAAAACATACAGTATAATATAATTAATATAAAACGCATGCAAAATTAGACTACGGTGTTACACTACGAGCCGATACTAATAGTATTAAAGTTTTCAAAATCAAATCACTACGAATAATAATATCAGAGAGGCGGTTGTAATCCGTACACAGAACCCTAAAGGGTTTATGTACTTCAAACTCCCGCCTACAGTGATTTACTACTAAAGAGATAAGGGTTCTGGATGTTAGTCGAGGAACGTGAAAATTGAGCTGCCCTAAGAGATAGGGGCTCTCAACATCACCGTTTATTAAGTTGTTAAGAAATACGACGCCAAGCATCGTTCTACGGTTAGCTAGCGAGGGTAAGTTAATTAATAGAAGTCTACTAGAATAGGATGGTAGTCTCACATCAGCATCATCAGCACTCTGTGTCCAGCCAAACGACATAAACAATCCTATAACAGAGTCTAAAGTAGAAAACTTTCTTGGGTCACCCTGTCAAATGAGCTTGCCTATTAAAAGGATTCAGTTTGACGAAGTCATTAAATGCTTAAACAATAAAAAATCACCAGGCCCGGCATCACTCTTAAAACTCTTCCACCAAAATGCATACGGTTTCTCACTCTGGTATTCAACGCTATTCTCAGGCTAGACAACTTCCCAAGTCAATGGAAATGTGCAGAAATAATTATGATCCTGAAGCCAAACAAGACAGAAACTGAACTATCATCTTACCGCCCCAT